AGAGTCTTCCTGAAAACCCAGTCACATGACTCCAGTGTGAAAACAGGTGTAATGAATAAAAAAGCTAAATGAGTGATGGAGTTAGCTGGGGGTGGGCGGAGTTACTTTTGCTTCTTTGATGGAAGCTTGCAAGGGGTTTTTCCATGCGCTGCAGAAGCAGACACTGGCTGCTCAGCTCACAGAGAGGATTTCTTGGGAGCTCTTCAGCTAATTCCATGTTACATAACAAATCTATTTTCTCTTTAACTGAGTGGTATTCTCTCTCCGTCCATATTTCCTCCCAAAACACGGGGGGGGGGGGGAGGGGAAATCTATTTAAATGCTGAGCGTTTCTCTGCTTTTAATACAAATGAACCCTCACTGGCATCTCCGCCATCAATTCTGTGTGGTTAAGAGAACAAAGCAAAAATCTCAGAGGTAGTAGGAACGATTGCAAATGTAATGCCAGCTGATGGAACCTTTGGCATTAGCTGGACTGAGATGCAGAGTCAGATGGGGTCAGCTGAAAAGATCATTTCCAACTCCCAATTCCTAATCTTTATAGATGTTTGGAGGTCCGGTTTTAGTTTGGATCCCATGAGAAATGTAGTGAATGATCATGGACTCTTGGTGAAGGCTTTTACTCAGATCTTTATTAATTTGGAGGCTTATAAAACTCAAACAAAAGATTAATGTTACCCAGATCTTCCTGGTGCAGGTCTGTGAAATCTTAAGATCAATTATTGATTAATGTAGGGCAGGTGCTTTCTTTCAACTGGGAAGAAAATGTAACCAGAAGCACAAGTTACACTTCTTGTCCTCTTGAAAGGAAATGTTATTGGTGATTAGATCAGGAGAACAAGGACCTTGGATTCCATTTCTACTAACTTCCTGGGTAACCTCGGGCATGTTACTTGACTTCTCTACACATTAGTTTATCCACATACAATACCACTCTGAGGTAGGTAAGTGAGTCTTAATTAATACTGAAATATCCGGAGAGTAGGCTTTATATAAATGTACGGTAGTATTCTCTCCTTCATGCACAAAGGCAACTACAAGCTACCTTGCATGGAAAGAGGTAGTGGCTTAACAGAGCTTTGACTACAAAGAGCAAGTCTGCTGTGAAAACAGAAACACATATGTTAAAGCTGACCCTAAGCAGTGTGTTGCACCCAAATGCTTATTAAAAGGTTAATAGATATGACTGGATGTACACTGATATGGTCTGCATTTTGATTACACACGGGCAGTTATTAAATATCTCCTTTAGAGAATTCATCTCCAAAACCCAATGTTGCTTTTTCATTTTGAACTTTGATGAACTGTCTCAATTCCGACTCTCACATCTGCTGAGCTGCAATTGACTGAAGACCGATGCCTCTGAAGGATAGAGGAAAATCAATATGAAATGTCAAGGGAGAGGTCAAATTGAACTGGTTTTTGCAGTTGGCTTGTATACGCGCTGAGGACTAAAAGGACATTTCAGCAACTGAACAAAGGGGGATACCAAAGGAGCATTGCTGCTGCTGAAAAGTCAAGAAACTGAATTTTGTTTGTTTCTTAATTGTATTAGGAATCTCAGGTGGGAGCTGATCCCACAGGATAGTGAGACGGTGCAAAGAAACAGTGGCATTTAGGGAAACTGCTGTTCAAAAACTTAAGCCCTCCATATAGAAATACAGTTTTCTTCCCAATCTGCTTTTTTTTAACCTAACAATATGTTGTAGATATGCAGCCATAATCATGCTCTAGCAAGATCAAAAGCATTAGTTTGCACTTTATTTCTCATCACCTCCGGGAGATTAGATCCTGAAATATGCTGAGAAAGTACTGTCTGGATCTAGTTTATTAGGGTTAGGACTCAATGGCACCAAGTATGTGCAATTTGTTCTTGCAATAATATTCTCACATCTTGGATGCTAGAAATCTCCTGAGATTCTTGTAAGATATGGAACTGGAAAATAGGCCCCCCTCAGAACCAGAACTACAGAGACAGATTCAGATCTAGATTTTTCAAAGAGGTTTGAATTCCAACTTATGGCCTGTCTCCAATAACAGTTTTGTTGTGTTTTATTAGTCAATGAAAGCACACGTGAGCTTCTGAGGTCACTAAGAATTACAGTACAATATTAACCTGCTTTACGTTGTCTTCCAATAACAATAAACCACAACACACTTGTTTTTAGATAAATAACCCTTTAAAAGTGTTGCACCCACAGATACTAGAATAGCCTTTGGGATATGTGAATTCAAAAGGCCTAATATATAAATCCAAGGTGCTCTAAAAGGTGATGAATTCTAATCACCAGCAACTGGGTAGGATATTGGCAGATATTATGATTTGAGCAATAGAATGCACAAATACCCTTGCATATTAAATCTACTGAAAGAAGATATGTGCACTTACAACTTCCAGTCTAGTCCTTCTGAGGATGCTAGGAGAGGATGCTCATCCTTTGAAATATCTCTAAACTTATTAATAAAAGAGATGCTACACCATATCAGCGTTATGGGTCTATAGTACATAGTATGTGTCTATAAGAAACGTTTGGAGCGGTGTGAAAACCGCAAAAACATATTTGCAAAAATTCTTGTGGATAAAACACACCGATTTGCTTTGGTAGTCTTCATGACCCCTTATATTTCCATCTCCGCCCTTATATTTCCATCTCCACAAAACATCCCAGTCAGCAAGTTTTTAATTGTGGAATTATTGGTGGTAAGTGAATACTAGCCAGATATATATTTTATGTCCTTCCACCAGAAATTCTCCCCTGGCCATTTTGAAAAGCTCCTATTGTTTGCACAATATCGACAGATTATAAATGTTTGCAGAGAATAAAATGTAGGGCATCCAATCCAGGAAGAAAAACAACATCATGGGAGTCAGGTGACCAATCATATGAATAACCAACCCTGAATCTATTGTGCTAACTCTTCTCTTAAATGTAAACTCCTTTAGGCGGGGACTGTATTTGCTATATGTTTGTACAGCACCTGGCACAGTAGGGCCCTGTCCCCTAAGACACTACCACAATACAAATAACAATATGTGTACCGATCCATTTATAAACAAACTATTCGCTCACACAAACTACTCATTGGACAATAGTTAATAACGAACAAATTCCGAACAGTCTCATAGACTAAGGCCAGAAGGGACCATCATGACCACCTAGTCTGACCTCTTGCACATCATAGTAACAACTAGTTTGTAAATAAACGGTGAATAGAGAACCAGCATCAATTAGGTGGATACATTATTAGCAATTAATAATTCCACCAGCTCTGCTGAGGTGAAATGTGGCCCCTGAAATCTGAGATTAGAGAAAAAGATGGGATATAAGAACATAAGAATGGCCATACTGGGTCAGACCAAAGGTCCATCTAGCCCAGTAGCCTATCTTCCGACAGTGGCCAATGCCAGGTGCTTCAGATGAATGAACTGAACAGGAAATCATCAAATGATCCATTCCCCGTTGCTCATTCCCAGCTTCTGGCAAACAGAGGCTAGGGACACCATCTTGGCTAATAGTCATTGATGAACCTATCCTCCATTAATTTATCTAGTTCTTTTTTTAACCCTGTTATAGTCTTGGCCTTCAAAACATCCTCTGGCAAAGAGTTCCACAGGTTGACTGTGCGTTGTGTGAAGAAATACTTCCTTTTGTTTGTATAAACTCTCACGTTCCAGGGCATAACCAACCATTAACTTGATGGGAAGGGGGGGGAAGGGTTAGGAACAAATTTCCCATGTGATCTGCTTATTCCAAATTGTCCACTACAGGGTTTGTTTTTCTTGTTGTTTTGCACCACCTTCCGAGACAGCATACTGGCCTCATTGGACAAGAGGTCTGAACTAGATCAGGATGAGTAACAGATTTTTGGTTAATTGGCAATTTCAAAAAGTCTAAAAAAAATCATTTTGGGTTGGACTAACATTTTGTTTTGATAAAATCAAAATGTTTTGTTTGGATTCTGACCACTTTTAAATGCCACTGAATTTTTAGAAACAAAAACAAAATATAAATAAAAAGTAATTTCAATCTGAATTTTTTTTTAAACTATTTTTTTGGTACTTTTCCCTAAAAGAAAAATTCAGTGAAATTGTCATCAATTAACGAAACGTTTCAATGTTGCCAAATCTGCGTTTTGTGCTGGAAAAAGATTTGGCCAATTTTTTTTTGTCCAGCTCTCATCTGAACCAGGATAGCAATTTCTATGTTCCCAGATATATGGGATTGATAAACATTGCACCCTAGGGCCTCAATGCAATAAATCTGATGCTGTACTGTCAAAGCAGCACAAATAATTTTTCACGGCCTACCATCTGTTCCCTCACTACTCCCAAAGTCTGCAGTGCTGGGTTTCAGCGAGAGGGCCTTCTTGCTTGCAAAGCTGGCAAAGATACACATGATGCTGGAGCAAACTAGTGCAGGACTGGAGAAAGATGTGGATTTTGTTCCCTCTGGTTTGGGCATTCATTTCATATCAACCACAGCAAAAACAAAGACATCAGTAGTGAGGGAAGTATATGACCTCACCACTTCCCTACAAAGGCCAGAAAGACTCAATGAAATGATCATTCTTCACTTTACCCCATGAAAAGCAGTGTTGGGAAATACCACAGTGAGAAGCGACCTGACTTGAAGCCCGTTTCTGAACACCCAGACTGGAATCTGAATTTTCAAATGGCTCCTAGTTTCATAGCAGGCTGAAACAGACCCCTGAGATGCAAACTCTCCAGAACTTTGGGGAGTTTGAAGGTTGGATCGGAGACTGAATTTTGAGCCTGATTCAAAACCGTTCCATTCGCATTTAACCACATTTTTTATTTCTTTCATTGGGTTTTTTTGGCTTTTTTAGCTGGCATTTAGTGACCTGACGCCACTGAGCCCTAAGTCTGGTAGAAATGAGATCCTATAATTTCAGAGTTCTCCTTCCTTTATTTACTCTCTCCTCCCCGCCATCACAACACCCCTCTGCCCCAACCTTGGTGAAGTGCTGGAAGTACTCACATTTGGAGTGTCTGTCACAAAGGGCAGATGCCCGCATGTCACATAGCCTTATTGTCCCTTTGCTGCTACTGTACACAAAGGTGTTGCAGTGGTGTGGATGGAATTCTGCCGCAGTGATCACCTCCGTTAGCTCCTCCATGTTGGCTGGCTTTATATCTACGATATCTGAAACGGGTAAGTCAAGGAAAAACAAACAGTAGGAGCCAGTGCTGTCAACATGCAGCCCCGGTGGTTATTAATCACTTCTGGCTTTCTTTATTATGCATTGTTTAACCGGGGCACTTTGTTTTTGACAGTGAGTATGAAGACAGGATTCAAATCTCTGATGTTTTAATCCTGAGTGATAAAGTTCTGCACCAGGAACTCTCAGCAAAGCCTTGTATTCTAGCTCTAGAAGGGATTTTCTGTTCTCTTTCTCTGTATTACTGAATGGCTGTAGTTTCATGTTAGATCATATGTAAATAAGCAGCACTTGGGCGCTATGCTAATATGCACGTTATCATCTGAGGATCTCAGTGGCATCATTATCCATTTTACAGATGGGAAAACTGAGGCTCAGAAGCGAAGTGACTTGCATAAGGCCTCACAGTGAGTGCCAGGTCTACAGTAATCTGTCTACAGCAGTGGTTCTCAACCAGGGGTACGCACACCCCTGGGGGTACACAGAGGTTTTCCGAAGGTACATCAACTCATCTAAATATTTGCCTTTTTACAACAGGCTACGTAAAAAGCACTAGTGGAGTCAGTACAAACTAAAATTTCATACAGATAATGACATGTTTATACTGCTCTATATACTATACACTGAAATGCAATTTTTCAGTAATAGTGTGCTGTGACACTTTTGTCTTTTTATGTCTGATTTTGTAAGCAAGTAGTTTTTAAGTGAGGTGAAACTTGGGGGAAACTCAAGACAAATCAGAGTCCTGAAAGGGGTACAGTAATCTGGAAAGGTTGAGAGCACTAGTCTACAGTATTGATCTAACCAGTAAAACATATTCCTTCTCTCTAAGCAGATTCAGCCAGGCAAGTAGTACCTTGGCTGCTTTGATCACTACGGTTACTTCCGTATTTCTTTACCACTTGGCAAAAAAATTCTTTTAGCATATGTTTGTTCTGTACTGTATTGTACCACATATTGTACCTGCTCATGGCCTTAGAATTTAAGCTGTTTAGGGCCAGGACAATATTTGCCCAAAACATTTTAGCACTATGTACCCTTGATGGTGTGTATAAATTACATAACAATAAGGGATCAAGAATACCAGTACATACATTCCCACTCCTCTTACACATATTCAGAATGTAGTGAGATACTGCTTCCCAAAAGCACTGTTCTCAAGAGACACGCTGTTACTGGGAATAAAACAGATCAAGAACTAATGTCTGGATTTTCAAAATAGCCTACAGGAGTTAGATGCCCAAATCCCTTTGCATTCAATGCAAGTTAGGCATCTCACTCCCTTCGACTCCTTTAAAAATCTCAGCTTATGTTAACTGTCTTTAGCGTGAATCTGGCTTTAACTGACATTACTCTTCACTTCTCACCATTCAAATGAGGTCAATGTGAACACGCAGACTGAAAGAAACTAATGCACTAAAGAGAAATCCCATCTTTTGTTACATTATCTATTTACCTAGAGACTGTAGCTGCTTGTAACACACACTGTAGTGCCCTCTTTGTTCAAAAAAGCTGCAAGATTCGACTTTGGCAAATTTGTCATGGGGCAGAATAAACAGCTCTTATTACAGTTGCTGGAAAAAGAAAATAACCCCAATTGCTGCAACAATGCAAGAAAAACAAAAAAACAATTGCTGTAACAGGAAGATTTTTCATCTCAAGAAGGTTCTGCAAGTTTAGACTCAGTAAAATCCTGGACTAAAATTAAATCATCCTGACATTCAAGTTGAGCTTGAAATATCTGTAGTCAGACACACCAGATGGAGGGAATCAGAAAGGAACCACGTCAATCACAAAGAGCCTCCTAGTGGTACAGATGAGCCTTTGATGATTGTCTCTATCAATCCGGCCCTGACACTGACTTAGTGGTCACTGGTGGCAAGCAGCTTTAGATTTCACAGTCCAATCAAAATACCCAGCATGGGACAATTTACTGACTGTGCAGGGGGAGAGGGGGATTGCACCATTACTTTCATCACCCCATGGAAAGCAAATTAAGGTCCTGCTGTTAACAGCAATTTCCAGAGAGAGGGAGAGGGGAAAAGAAAAAAAAAAACAGATGTGAACTTCACAGGTCTGTGGGGATTGCTTGAAAACCTGACTGTAAGAAAAGTCCTTTCCTCAGTGCAGCATGGTGGGTGGGAGGGTTTCAAGAGAGGACATTTTTCCCTTTGGAGAAAAAAATGGGTGAATGTAGTGCTCAGAGACAGGAAAGGCCAACAGCACTGGCTATAACCAGGTATATATTAGTCAGGTACTCTGCTATCCATCCTCAGCTCTGCCAATGCACTTCAGTACTAATCAGTAATACTTCTGCTGTTAGACTCTTGGGATGAAGGATGGTTATGAGGTTTAAGTACAAACTAGGAATCAAGAGAAATCTCAGCTCAGCTACAGATTTCCCATGTTACTATTATTTGCGTTTCAATAGAATGGGGATGTCACCTTCTCTCTCCGTGTCTCAGTCTCCGCCTCTGTGAAATCAGAATACTTTGCTCTTTGTCAACTACTTTTCATGTACAAAGTGCTTTATATGAATGCAAATATTAGTATTTCCACTGTACAGATGGGGCAGCTGAGACAGAGAGAGGCAAACTGACTTGCACATGGTCATGCTGCAGTTCAGTGGCAGAACTGAAACTATAACACCAGCCAGTGCCCTATAACCTGGATTGCACATACTTAACGTCCTCACTGACTGCAGTGAGGTTAGAGTTCTTAATGTTTGTGAAGCACCACGATAGTCCAAGATGAAAAGTGATATAGAAATACATGGTACAGATGCTCCCCGAGTTACGTAAACCCAACGGACGCAAATCCGAGTTTACGGAAAAAGTTCCGTAAGCTAGAAATAGGTGGTTTTATTTATTATTATTTTTTGCACGTAATGGTCAGAGATACGTTTCCGACTTACGCAAACTTTGAGTTACGCAAGGCGTTCCGGAACGGAATGTTTGCATAAGTCAGGGAGCGTCTGTATTATCATATTTCTAAACCCCCTCGCCGCTTTGCCAACATCCTTCAATTCTGATCTTCAACAACTCTTGCTCCTGCTAAGCAGTGCCTTCGAATCATGTCAAATTGCACAATGGCTTTGTGATGTGCACAAAATCAGAACTGGAATGAGACACACACACCCCCTTCCAAACTCATTTTCACTTATGACTTAAGTAGGATTTGAGCTTAGGTCTCTAGTGGTGAAAAGCTAGCGTGTTAATCCTGTGCATGCTGTTATCTCCAGGGATTTTTAGACCTTATTAAACTGCACTGTACTTCATGGAATGGGACATGGTGCATCACTAAGTCTGCTTTTTTAAACTAACTAAACAATTTCTCTGTTTTTTTAAGAATATACAGCGACTGAGTTTTGAGACTGGCAGTTGTTGGAGCAGCTCCAAAAACAATTGTTATTGAGAGGCCCGCAGCGTTAAAAACTAATTTAAAATGCTGAGGGCCCAATTGAAGTCAATGGGGTTGTGTCAGTAACTGAGAGAAGAGTTTGGCCCTGGAAATCTGCTGGCAAACGAAACTTTGCAGAGTAGTGTAATGGAATGAGGGGCCTAGCATACCCAACGAAGATCTCAGATTGCTCCAGATCAAATGGAAAACCCAATACTGGGTTGCCAGAACGCATCACAGGGTTTGGGGGCAGGGGTCTGGTTGGGTTGAGCTCCTTGCTCAGGGCGTTCCAACCTGGGGTGTAACTTATGGACTCCTGCAGGGGAGGCATTGGGTCTGGGGATAGCTCTAGGTTGCAACAGGCCATCAAAGTTTACAAATGGATCCTGATCCCAGGAAGGTTGAGAACCACTGCTCTAGGGAGCTAACTTTAGACAAGTAAAAAGCCAACCCCATGAGTTATGTAAAAGATAAAAATAAAAGCAGTTTAAAAGCCAGTTCCAAGACTGTGCAGACTCCACGACAGTAACGCATAATTGCAAATTGAGGAAACAAGGAGATGACAATAGCACTCCATAATCTACTAGTCGCCCATTGACATGATTTTCTCACAATAATGACTGTTTGATTAAATGGAAGTTGTTGTGAAAAATCTGCTTTCATTGACATTTGGGTGGAGAGGGAGGTAGAAGAACTGAAATCTGGACATTTTTTGTTTTCCAGTGAAAACCTGAAATATTTTGATGAAAACTAAAACTTTTTGATTTTATTGAGGGGAAAATACAGGGGGAAATAATAATTTCCCAACCAACCCTACAATTTACTAAATTATTATCTTTTCCTTTCTTTAGGAGTAAAACCCCAAAATCTTTATTCACCCATTCCTAAAGTGCTGCTGGTTTGTCTCATCTCACCACGTGACTCCTTGCTGTAACCTGTAAGATTATTCCCACCACATCTCCTCTCATGAAACCTCTGCATAGTTTTCCCAGATGGTGATAGAAGTCTTGTTCCAAAGGCAATGGTTTTATCTCCATTTCTTCCTCAGAGTGGATGACCACAGCTAAGCAGGCTATCCTCAGTGTGGGAGGCCTGAGTTTCTGAGGAGTCTTTTGCTTTGGCCAGTGCCTCTCAAGGATGCCTTATAGATGAGGTGCTTTGGGCTTGGAGAGGTGGCCATGAGTATCACTTGCTAGGTGTCCAATGGAGATTTGCTCAATGGTCTGTGAAGCCATGAAAGAACCCACCTCCCTGCCCTAAAGGCCCAAGAAGGAGGAAGGATATTAAAGAAATACTCTACTCATTTTCCAGAGCTCAAGTATCAGGCATGCCCAGGATATATAGGGCCCACAGCGTCATTTTTACAAAGCCACTTTCTTGACTACAAGTGCCCTTCAAAGATAGGTTTCAAAAGATATCACAGATCTCTGCGCAAAAGACCATATGAAATTAGAAGACTGAGTGTTCACCAGGAAAAAAAACATTGTGGAATGAATAAATGTGGGATCCTTAAGACTGTCTTACCAGCTTTCAATTAGGGTTCAAGAATGGGAAGGGAAAACCCCAGGGATGCTCATATATCTGATTGGGGTACCCCTATCACCAAAACCAAACAATAAAATGAAAAAACCCAACTGCAAAAATTTATACTTTTTTCCTAAATAAAGAATCATTGTAACTGCTCTTCTCCACCCTTCTTGGAGTGTCAGCTCCATGACTAAGCACTGCCCCTGGAGCGGACTTCAGAAATAAGGATTTGTAGCATCCAAATCACTGTGATCAGGAAGAATTCTAGGAAGCCGCTTTCAAGGGATGGGATGGGATGTGATGTGTCACATGCTGCCATGTTGTACTAATGACTCACTGACATCTCAGAAGGACTGCTTCACTTATGAAATGCCAGTTCAGCACAGATCAGTGAATGCAATCCCCCTGGCAGAATGCATGGGAATTCAGCACAGAACAACAAGTCTCCTGCTAAAGTGCTGCCCGCAAATTTCCCAGGGAACTTCTTCTGGATGGATCAGAGACCTGTGGGTAGTTAAGAGAATTAACAGATCAACTGCAACAAGAAAGATGGGACAATGGTAGAGAAGAGAGCAAGGCATCCACACTGCCAACCAAACAGCCACCTGCATTATCCAAATTTCTTTGGCTCTTCACAGCTGTGAACAGAAGCAATGATCTCTGGATATGACAACAGTCCATTATCCAAAGGACTAACCTTCCCCTTGCTGGTCTGAACTGCTGCTTCTATGATAGAGCCATAACCCTATAGACTGTGATCCAGTCAGACTTATTAAGCTAAGCAGAATGCCATGGAGAACTCGGATGGCTGCAAGAATTATTAGTGGTGATACATCAAGGGGCACTCTTTTCTCTTGGTCAGGACTGTACCAATACCCCAGCATGGTGCTAAGGAGCAATTTGCTGCTGGAGATACCTTGTTTGAATGAGATGTACCACTGAGTTCCTGGTGAGTTGTGTCAATTAAAATTCTCCTGGCACTTTAGGAACAGTAGAGTATCAGCACTGGTATCTTGGCTAAATTTGGCTGGGACAGCTACATTCTGTCCATCTGAATTCTCTGTAGTTTTGTCTGAATATGGCACTTGGCACTTTCTGTTCTAAACCATAATATACAGTTGCCGCAAGCAGTTCAAACACAAGCACTTTCCACCCCAGAGTGGCTGAATTTCAGTGATTACCAAAATGATCCCCAGCTGGTAAAGTTTGCTGTGTGCTTTGGGGATTTATCAGTGGAAAGCACTATACAAGTATCAGTGATTATCATCATCCCTGTTGTTATTATTTCTGATGTGGCTGTTATAGGGGTGACTGGCACGGTCTCATTTGTATGTCTGCAACTGGCAACCTGTCACACACTACAGTTTATAATGAAAACTACACTATTAATATTTCCTCTCCTTATTTCCCCCAAGGCATCTGTCTTCTAAATCACCTAAGGAAACTCCCCTCCCCCACTTACACCCTGCAGGCAAAATTCAACATGTCACCCAAACTGGAAAGCAGCAGCTTGTAATGATGCCCAGCTGAGCGGTGTTCAATCTTATGGCTCTTGGAATCAGACAAAACAGCATAGTGGTTAAAAAAAAAAAAAAAAAAGAGAGAGAGAGAGAGAGAGAGAGAGAGAGAGAGAGAGTAGTAGACTTTCTCAGTGCCAGCTGCTATGGTAACATTTTGCATCCACAGCAAGAGCAACAGAAATAAAAAGAAAAAGGAGGTCTTGGCACTTACATTTACACACTGTCCAGACTGACACACACGAATTATAACCATAACACAGCACCAATAATAGCTGGTATTTAGGTAGCACCTTTTATCTGAGGAGCTCAGAGCACTTTACAGACATTGAAAACCAATAATGGCCTCCCAACACTTCGGGCAGGGCTATACTTAACAAGCTGCAGCGGCACAGCTGTAGTGCTTCACTGAAGATGGCACTACACCCACGGAAGAACTTCTTCTGTCAGCCTAGTTGATCCACCTCTGCAAGAGGCAGTGGCGAAGTTGACAGAAGAGGCCCTCCCATCACCACAGCACTATCTACACCAGATGTGAGGTCAGTATAACTCTTGCACTCAGGGGTGCGCATTTTTCATACCTAGAAGCAACATAGGTATACCAACGTAAGTTTGTAGTGTAGACCTGGCCTGAGTAAACTCTGCACCCACCCACATATGTGGGACCAGATGGGTGTATCAATAAAGAACCTGCATTATCTTCTCTTACCACTAGAACTGATGCATACTAGCACAGGTCACCGAGTGAGAGAAGCTGGCACTACTGCTTTCCTGCCAGTAGATAAAGCTGTCAACCCTCTCTGAACAGTGGGCATTGTCCAGGGTTCTCTGCTTGGTGTCCCTTTCTGGATCCCTTGCTTTGACCCTGTGACCTGGACCCCCGTCCCTGCTTTTCATTTGTTTTCCCTTGTGATCTGATGACGTCTGGGTTGTGGCTCTGACCTCACCTGAGGGGTGGGCCTTCCATTGCTTTGGTGAGCTCCCCTCTCTCCTCTCCCCCACATATCAGATAGTTATCAGACAGGCCACCCCTTTTTACTCTGGGGCTCTCTGCTCAGTGTTCAGCATTTCTGTCCCCACTCCTGGCCTTACCCCTTTGTTTACTTTCTCCCCCTTAATTGTCCTCTGTATCTTTGTGGCCCCTTCCCTCTCCCCATGAGGGAAATGCCATTGTACTTTCAGGGTCCCCTACAGAGGTCAAGTAGGTTCACCCTTTTCACCAGTACTAAATTCACATCAGAAAAACAACAGCAGCTGCTTTCATGTCACGTCTAAGCCAGAGAACCAGACTAACCCTACACTAGTGTGAAATACAGACAAACCTTGGAGGCACATATTGTATAGGGCCAAGCCTGGAGGTCCTCGCTCAGTTTATAGGTGGATAGAATTCCCACAGAAGCAAGGAACGAGGCTGCCTTTGGAATTCTCTCTCCTTGGAGGAGTCTCAGAATACAAGTCTAGCAACGTTCGTGATACATTGCAAGATATGTGTATTCCATTTAACTGTTCATGAACAGTTTGTTGTGTTCCTGCTTTACACTTTAATCTCTGTATGAAAAAAAACCTACTGACGTAGGGTAACTGAATGGGGTAATCTGCAGTAATAAAAACAGAATTAAAATTATTATTATTATTAACATCCGGTTGTAAAGCAAATCAGAATGGGCTAAATCCTGAAGACCTCGCTCAGTTCTTATTCAATCCTTCCTTAGGCAAAACTTCCATGGGCTTCATTGGAAATTTTGCCTGAATAAGGAATGAATAAAACCTGCATAAGGAACTCAGCATCTGACTGACTGTGTATACACAATCATGCACAAATAACAAGATATTTGTCTAATGGTTAAAGAGAAAACCTAATTCAAATATAAGAAGGATTTGTAGACAATGCAAAAGAAATCCTCCAAAAGATGTAAACTCAAGGTTCAGATGAGCTCATTCTTCTAACGTCTGGGTTCTACAAGAACCTCTCCTAATTGGACAATAACTCCAGCCGGATTTATGAATCAAAGGATACTAAAACTTTGATTGGTTATTTCAAAGTTCCATAAGTTTATCCTCAGGTCGTCAGCTGACATGTAGGTTTCATAGTCACTATTTACGGATATGGAGTTGATGTGATATGTGTGCGCATTGGCAAATACTCTTCGGGGTGTGGCCTCCACCATTAGATCCATGGGCCTTAGTACAGGGACCTGGCAATAGAAGGAACAAAAGCAAGGCGTTAGGAGAACAAAATAGTTTCAGCATTAAAAGCGATCTCATTGCAACTTCCAGATCAGTACACTCAGCTAATATTCAAACAATCTCACCTACAGCTGAGTTAATCCAGGGCACCGTACATTTTATGGGGAGACCGGATTGTTCAGTGACATGAATTAGTTTTTGCCTCTAGGCTGATTTTTGCCTCTAGAAATGAATCTGATCTAGATCAGGGCTGTCTGATAGTTCCCATCTGATGATTGTTTGGTGGTCTCAGTCTAGTTCTTAGTGGACAATTGTGTGCATCACATAAACCACCAATTCAACAGGCACTAACTGGCACTCTTGTGTTATCTTTAGTCCCCATGGATTTAATCCTGCCCTTTTCACGAACACAAATTCATTTAAGCCCCTCGTCCCTCACAATTTTATACATTAATATATGCATTAATATATGCAATAGAAAGACTGAACAGTAGGAAAAACAGATGTAGAAATCCCTTATATTTGGAGGCAAGGTATTGTTAGGTTTGGGCACAGCACTGAAAGTCAGGAACCCTTGAGTTCTAATCCCCACTCTGGCAATGATTCTCTCTTTGGCCTTAGTCAAGTTATTTAACCTTTCTGCCTCAGTTTCTCCATTTGAAAAATTGAGATATTAATACTTACTAATTAACAGGGTCATTGTGATGATTAATTAATGTTTTGAACACCAAAGGTCTAGCATAACTGCTAAGTTTTTTGTTTTGTTTTTTTGTTTTTGGGTTTTTTTTTAGAAAATTGTATCTACATACAGTACTTGGAACAGCACATTAAGGCTCCAATCCTGCTATCAAATCCACGTGGATGGACTCCTGCCCTGCAGTTCTGTACTGGCACAGGGGCCCATCTGTACAGACGTGTTTGCAGGCTCAGAGCTCCCAATATTAACATTTTCTTCCAAACTACTGCTAGATTGCTGCTAAAGCCAAGCACTTATTCTTATTGCAAAATGCAAATACACAGAAAGGCAAAAAATAAAGTCACTGTAGATATTTTTGTTATTGGTTGACTAAACCTTCCCTTCCTCCGATCAGCAATTCCTTTATTCTTTGTTATTAAAATTTAATATTTTTTATTAAAGGAAACCCACGTCAGCATAGATTCTTGCCCCTCTCCGTACTCTATGGTAAAATAATGGAATTGGGAGATGGGAAGAGAGAGGAAAATAGAAAGAACATTGGAGCAGATGGGGAAAAAACTAACTGATCTACTTTTCCTTATATGTTTATTAACCATAACCCACGTAAGCCATCAATGGATGAATAGATACAGTCAAAAACTGTGTACGCAAAGAAGTACATAAGTAATATATTTAGACATAACACTCTTAAAGCAACTTAATACAATAGAAAGGTGTCAGTCTATGCTTCCTTTTGCCAATAACCCATTCCCTCAAGCTACTTCATTACTGTGTGTATTATCTGCATGCTGCCCAAAGAGATTTCCCATGGCTGCTGAGGTGGGGATAGGGGTATGACAGCCAGGATCAAGTGACACTAGAACATAGGAACTGCCAGCTCAGAGCCTGAGCTTAATGTGATGAGCCTGCTTTCTAATTCAGCCTGACATATTCAATGATGCATCATTTGCTGTTGAAGGACTTTGCTCAGCCATCTGGGGACATAGTCTAGCATTTTGCCCAGAGACTGCAGGAAGCAGGCTGTCATTCAGACTGTCAGAATCATGATGGTTTGCAAAGGTACAGAGTTCAACTGTTACACCAGACTCTGGAAACAAAAGTAAATAAATAAATAAAAGGCTTTGGCATAAGATTTCACTCAACACAACACTGATATGCAGTACAGCCACGTCTCGACTGTCATGCCACCCGCCCAAGCCACACACGTGTTCCTATCCCCAAGCCTGCAGTAATCACTGCAATACCAGCGTTGGTAGGTATAGGTCTATTTTATATTGCAGCTTTTTGCAAAGAAATCAGTTTTCTTGCACCCCGAGAGTGAAGTTAACAGTATCCTCAGGTAATGAACATCTCAGTTTTCTAGTACAGAACCAAATTCAGTTTTTACTCAGGGTATGTCTACACTAAAAAACCCCGTAAGTCGACCTATATTACAGCCACTGCAGTACTTACTGTGGTGGTACACGTCCACACTACCCTCCTTGGGTTGGTGATGCGTGTCCTCATCAGGAGCGCTTCCACTGACCTAAGAGGGGCAGTGTGGGGAGCTGAGAGCCTGTTCTCTCAGCTCTGCTGGTAGCTCCCTGCTGGGAGCCTGGCTGCCTCACAGGCTCCTGGGAAGCTGCTCCCCACCCCTCAGCTCCCCATTCCCCAGTGGGAGCAGGGGCAGAGGGGGGGGAGAGGGAGACCCGCCCAGGGCTTCTCGCCTCCCTATTTCCTGCTGGGAGTGGGGGGAAAGCAGCCTGGGGCTTCTTGACGCTGGGGAGCGGGTTCCAGCCATCTGGGCTCCTTGCCCTGGCTCCCAACCAGGAGCAGGGTCCAGCCGCCCAGGCTCCTTGCCCCGACTCCCAGCCAGGAGTCCAGCTGCACAGCTCTCCAGGGGCAGAGGGGGAAGCTGGGCTCTAGCTGCCTGGCTTTCTTGTCAATTTCACGTCTCTGCTGGAGCCGTGAAATTGACAAGAGCGCTAACAACTGATGCAAGTAATAGTGTCTACACAGACACTGCATCGCCTCAACTACACCAACACAAGCCCTACGCCTCTCGTGGAGGTGGAGATACGTTGTCAGTGTGGTAGGGCACTTACATCTTCAGGAGTAAGGTTGACTAACATAATTAGGTCAACGTAAGCTGCCTCATGTCGACCTAACTATGTACTGTAGACCTTCAGCAGGCTGTTGTTAAGGTCTTGATGTACCGTAGTGACTATTACATTTTGTGTAAGGGATACACGGTCTGACAGACAGGACGAAGGCAGTTTTTTCAGCTGTTACAACTGCAAGAATCTGCATCTGAACAGGCAAAGGTGTAACTGCCCATGCACATGTCATTCGAACACAGTTACTTGGCTTGTAGGTGCAATTGTAGGCTTCTGGTTGAGGTGAGCCAGCACTTGAATCTGATCCTCTTCCAAATCTGGTGTAGGATTTGGCTCCCTGAACTCGAGCCCACCCATAAGATTTTGGTTTGCAGAAAGAGCTAAACCCCATTCAGGATGTTGATGGAGAACAGCTGGCAGGCTTCGTGAGCTGAATGATCTGAAACTGAACCTAACCTTGATTCGATCTCAAACCTACTTCCCAGCCTGGTCCTAATCTGGAGCTGGATCCAAACACGTTCTCCCTGGCCATGTCTAGTTTCTGGAGGCAAAGATGGTACACGTGCATATTTCAGGGTACTTAGTTGTGTCTGCCATTGAAAATTTCGCCCATAGTTTTTGGCTCACTGAGCCAGGGCTTTAGCTGGCATAGGGGAGTTCCCAGTGGACAATGAGGCTGCATAGCTTCCGTCCCCACAGCTACTGGCATAGGTAGTATGTCAACTGTGGGAGGGAAATGGCTGGAGTTTATTGCACTCCTGCTATCCCCAAATGGAATATGGGCCATATGGGACTGTTGCCAGCTGGCACATGTTATAATGGCCCCCAGGCTATTCTACTCTGGGATGATGCAGAGAATCAGGGAATTGTAACTGGTTGTTGGTTCTCAACCTCTCCTTTTATACTCTCCTGGGCTACTCTAGGTTAATACATTTGGGGGAAGGGAGCCACCCTTTGCATACCGCTCCTTTAGGCGCAGACACAGCTGCAGTGCTATTCTGCTCTCCTTGGGGTTCCCACAACCCGAGAATGGAGCTACCAGATCTACGCTCTCCTCCCTCCTCTGCAATGCAGCACGCAAGCAAAGGAAGTGGTGTTCTTGGGGTACCAGAAGCAGCACTGGGAGGTAATGGCTATACTGCTTCTTCATAGCTACAGAGCTGATTCAAGTACTTCAGCTAAAAATATCACACAGGGCATGGATGTGGGAATGGGCTTTCAATTTAGAATCAAATCCACATTTTCTTCTTAATACACTGTCCTTAAGGGCCACTGGTTTGACATCAGTGCTCTAGATGGTGGTACTTAGAAGGCAGTGAGAGAGAGAGCCTCCTCAGAAGAGCAACACAAGCATTCATTATAGCTTATGAACATTTACATATTTTGCACAAATGACAAAGAAAAGAAATATGTGCAAGTGTGCATGTATCAACAGCAAACTGTCCTATCTTCTCAATTGGAATGCTCAGAATGTCAGTACTGCAACCCCTAGACTTGGAATTTGCATCCGAAGACATTTTGCACAATGAAATGGTGAATTTTCTCTTTCCATCATCATTTGTGTTCAAATATTTATTTGAAAATAAAGTCTGTATGCCCTTTGTTATCAATGGAGATAAAGCAAAGAAAAGGGATTCTTGGATTTTTCAAAAGTGGAAGTGGGCTGTTTGTTTTAGCGAGGAAGCAGGTGCAGAATCGAAGTCATTTGATTTGGGGAGTCCTAGGAAAAATAATAGCAAACCACTAACCAAAGAATCACAGATGGAAAAGATCTTCTGTCTAGTCCACCCCAGGGCTGATGCAGGTTTGTTCTCAGCTATATATTTTCTAATACGCTGTCTAGTCAAGGTTTCAAAGGTTTCAAGCAATACAGCTTCCAACAGTCCCCTTGGGAGACTACTCTACAGTCTAACAGACCTCCTCATTACAATTCTGCTTAACATACAACAAATGGAGAAAAATGATGGTCTAACTTAACAACACTGCAAACTACTCTGCATTCTACAAAGGTCTGCTACGCTGCATCACACATTGAAAAAGAGCATCAGAGTTACCAGAAATTAATGCATGAGGCAATGAATTTGCTCAGAATTGCAGCACTTAGCAAGTGTTAAATGAAACTCGCTAATAAAATGACAGGTCACTTGGTAGCAATTAAAACTTTTGTTTTTTTAAGCATACAGCCTTCCTGTTGGTTGGTTTAAGAAGAGCCTAA